AACGCGCGCAAGCGTGCACTTTCTCTCTCGCCATCCTGCTCTCTCTATCTTTAGCTTCTCTCCCGTTACAACCGGCAGAACCCGCGTTCCTCCTCCGCGATACTTTCACGCGCGTTGCCCGGTGTGTGCGTGCCAGAAACTCGAGCGCTCGCGCAATCCGGCCACACGGCGACGAAACGCGACCGCCGATAAAGACGCGTCGCATCGCCTGTACGCGACTGCCCGTTTCGCGCGGATGCGTTTCTTTCACCGCCTCGCGCCATCGATCTGCCGCGACTTCCGACCTTTCTCAAGTCGAGAAACCGCTCCATTCCGTACCCTCGTCCTCGTGGATGAAACGGGCCAGCTTTTCGATTGTCTCGCGGATCAAGTTCCACTGAACTTTCGTATTCGATTATTGTCGTATCTCCGGCGAGTACCGTAAGGGATTTTTATTCATTTTGATATATCTTCGCGGTGATTTTATTTTGACATTGGCGTTGAACTATAGGAGTATTATATTTCATATGATCTGGTTAAAAGAATTTAATTTAAAAGAACACAGTTGAAAGGGAAATAAGTGATTCGATCCAAGACCGAAAAGCGTTAACGACAGATGACAATAGGTGTTTGTGACAATACTAATGATATGTTTAATATCTACAGTATAATAATAATTTTTTAACTATTATTTTTTCGAGAGAATCGAGCTATCAATGTTTTTTATGCAGATAAACATAATTCAAGAATACTCGAAGAAAACCCTATAACCGAGAAAGATAATCGAAAAGAAATACGTGCCTTTTCTGTCGAAAGTTTGTGATAATAATATTTGGTTTAAATACGGAGGAATGCGAAGAAAGAAAATGGAGATCTCGAGGAATTCTTGGTAAAATTCTGAGCGATCATCTCGTTTGACTATCATTCAATAATTTTCCGTTTTCTATGATACACGGTTATGGAACGTGAAACTCCCAACAATTAAGGGCCACGAATACTTCTTGAATCTGCATTGCAAATGCGGAACGTGTTTTCTTAGACGTTAATCACAATGAACGTAAAAGTGATGGCTTTTCATCACTAATACATTTCTCCCAATGTTGGAGCGTTTGTCCCGATATCGCCTTCGAGCCCCAGACGAATTTCCTTTTGTCTCTTTGTAGCGTCGCTTCTTTGTACCATCAAAGTGAATTTCAACGCAAACAGTTAGAATTGTGTACTTGGATCCGACGAGTAGAATGATCGAGAAACGACAGCCTGGTTCGTTCGTCTTTCGTCCAAAATTCTCATATACGCCAAATAAATACAAATTTCGATGAATATTCCTTTTTCTCGATTCTCTTTCTTGTCGAAAAACTATGGCGTACGCTATACATTCGTTTAAATTTCCATAGTTCGTATTCGAACGGCGAAACGCGATAAGTTTCGTATTTACATCGACGGATTGGTTAAACAGGACAGGATAATGATTCAACGTCGTTCGTGCGATGAATAAAAGAAAAGAAACGGCTACCAGATTCGCTTGGAACGAAATCGGTATAGCATTCGTAATACAAGCGACACGGAACGAATCTCGTGTAATTTTAAATAGCAGGCTCCACTTGTACGATCGAGACAAAACGACGAGTCGACCAAATTGCACGAGGTTTTAGTTCTAATTTTTAAATATTAACAGTGTTTGAATCGATAATTATAACGAATGCCTCTTAAAGGACTTTCGTTCTTTCGATATTTCAGAATTTCATAACGATTCAATTATCTGAGTAGAAAATAATACATATACGTGAAATGGGATAATCTGCTGATTCGCAACTCGTATAATCTGTTTTCAAAAATTTACGCGAATTAATTAATCAATTAGATTTATCAACATTCTAACGAGTCGTATCTTGCGAGTTGTAAAATTTATCGATGGTATTAATCGATGATGAGAATACCCAACGTTCTGATGGTGAACCTATCAGTGAAATGATATTACTCGCGCTGAATGTTTTAATAGCAACAGAATGATACTATGTAAACCGAAAGTTGACGAGCAGAAATTCGTTGATAACGTTACTCTGCGGTTCCACCGCGATTAGAGATGAAATTTTAGCCAAAATGTTAAACAACATTTAAGCGTGTCGTTTACCTCCAACGCAATTTAGGCTAATTAAAATAAAATGTCGAGCGTACGTAGTGGCTCGTTAGCGACGGAATACTGAAATTTAAACATGTGTCACGCATGTTACGTGTTCGTGAAGGGATTTACCAGAGACTTGTAACCGTGTAATGCCCGTGAATAATTGCATATAATGTGCACGTTGTAAAATTAAAAGGGTAATGTCTTGCGAGGACTCCCCGCGTACTTTATAGCTTCATAAACTTCACCAGTAAGAAAAATGGCAGCGTAAAGCCTGGAAATATGCGCGAACTATGTGTATCTACGAACGAACGTGCTTAGCCGTTCTTGGTGCGAAGAAATTCGTTCTCGAAGATATGAAAACGTATGGAATGGGTCTTGAAAGATTTATAGTTCCGGAGAAATAAGGTTTCCGGCGTTGTTCTTCTATTTGTCAGTAAATTTCATTGCTGCTCCGAATACAAAATAAAATAAAGAAATACATATATCGTTGTAATATTTTTACAGCAATTGAAGACTGACTTGCGAAACGAAAGAGTATTAACTTTTACATTCTGTGAAAATCGAGAATTTTTTATGCTCTTTTAAAATTTCTAAATTACGTGGTATGTACGATTCGATTGAAGCGACTGGAATATGGAACACCTGATCTTTAAAACTTGTCAAGAACAGGCAGTGTTTCCTTTTTAACGAGGGTAACGTTAAAGCAACGTTTCGAAGGAACGAACGGATATTCATATCTGCACTTCCTGCAATTTCTTCGGATGGAACGTCGAATGAAAAATTGAATACTCCGAAAGACACCCTAAAATTATGTTAACTCTTAACCGGATCGTCCCCTAACCAGAGATTTCCATAATCCATTTAATTCTACGATAGAACTAGAAGAATTCTATTCTTGTATTTCGCTCGTACCTTCCATTTAGCCAAAAAACGTACCAATTTCTTCGGAATTTTTTAAAAATAAAATTACGATATTCGTAGATCCACAAACTCTACCTTACACGAAGTAATCGATTAATTTTTCGCAAGCGATTCTTGGGAGAGTGTCGATTATTCGATCAATGTCGTTCGGAGAGTGGCTCTCGATCGATCTCGATGACACGCGAGCGCTCTGGTGGTTCGATTCGCACGAAAATCTTTTCCACTCGATCCAAGGCCGTTCGATGCATATTCCTCGCGTTCGGCCATCATCGCGAACGCTTCTCTCTTCCAACGAGTTATTAATATCTTAATTACATCCGACTCGTTTTTGCGAGGACGTCTGGTCGATCAGTATTACAAGACAGGACGAGATTTCGCGGGATTAAAGCCCACGACGTCCGGCGACCGATCGTCGATACGACCTCGCGTGCTTCTGACGTACAGCGTGTGATTAACATCGTGTATCGTGTAACTGGCCTTCTCAATATTGAGAACACCCAGCTGTTCTCTCGTAATCCGCTAGCTTAAGAGATTCGTTGCTAATGAAAGCTATCTATGCGTGGTGCAAATTTGAGCGAATGCCAAAGTATCTGTTAGTTTTGGTGGAGGAGAAATATCGATTTGGTGGAAAAATTAATTTTCTATTCTTAAGGATATTAAGATGCTTGATCTTAGATAGCTCACGCGTCGATATTCTCGGTAAAACATCGTAAAATCTGTGCAACACCTTCAGAAGATTACGATCTTCGATCAAAATTTCTATAAAAATGTCGTTTTCAACGAAATTTCGAAGTTTGCAGGACAATGGAGTAGAATCGTAGAAGACAACAGACATTAAACGCATATTCAAGCGTTTGTATAAGTATTTAAATATTTGATACAGCGAATCATTGTTAACTAAACTATTGAAATTCGTGATGGTCATAACATCGATTGTGGACAGAAGTTCAATCCCAAGGATTTCGTACGAACCGTAGCGTGTGCGTCGATGCCACTCTTCTAACTATCGCGATATACTACGTTATGACTAATTGGACCAACTATGTGAGATAACTGTTGCAAATATCGATCAACTACGCTGTCAGATATTTTCAAAATCTTTTTAGGAGTACTTTTAAACAGACGCTACAAAGTTCATCGATAAAGTGTAGTTGTTACACGCTACATTGGATCTGTACACACGTGCCATGTTAAACGTGCATTTCTAATTTTGAGAATCCAATTTCGACACTTGGATATCTAATGAACACCCATCAACTACCTACTTCCTCTAACTCCGGTACTTTCCGCGAACTCCGCTCGACTCCCGCGCAATGCAAACTTAT